TGCAGGACTTTTATGTGTACAAACTAATATAATACTAATGCTGTCTTCCTGGAATGGCATCACATTTTGCTCATGAATATGGAAATACGTATTGGCATAAAAAAGGGCAAATACCCTTTGAAATAGTAAAACAAAGTTGAAAATGAGTGTAAATGAGACATGAATGTGCATTTTAAAGGTTTGTGTTAACAGACACTTTAATGCTGCAATAAGCAATAAGACGTCGATCCCGGGGATGGGATGTTGACTTATCCCTCAATTTTTTTTATCATGGGGGATGGGCTGTATAAATGTATCCTCGTGAGCATTTTGTTACCAAACAAGAAATGACAGTTATGTCACCCTCCTTTCTGTAATTCTCCTTGAGACGTGTATTTTCACCAAATTTCTAGTCTGGCATTTGAGGTGCATAAATGTTGATGTCATTTAAATCTAAGGACGCCTTTGATTCAGAAAATGTTCTAAATGCGTCAGGTTAGGTAAGCAGAGAAAACGTGTGAGGAACATGGAAAGTTGGTTTATTCCAAGTACATCAAAAAATGTGTCAATCGCCATCTTTGTTACAATGCCATTTGTTGTGGGCTATCTCCCTGTAAGCCACCATGCAATTAGGAACCATGGTAATGTCACGAAACGTTCGGCAACTTTCTCTGTTGGCACGGTACCCAGACGTTTTGACGACATCAACTGAGCTTCAATTGTCTCGTTTCACAGCATTTTAGAGATTGCTGGATATTGCAGCATTCTAAGCAATATGGGCGTTTTGTGACCGCTGACTAAGCTGCTCGAAGAAACAAAATGGGGTTTATGCTCAGACTCACTTTGGGTTGTACGCGACTTGTCATAATGTTGGATATTTCCAGAGGTGAAACTAAGATCATAGCAAGTGAAATCAAAGCGACAGGAAACAAAAGTTTCAAGAAATTTCAAGACATTGATAATCGCTTCTGACTTAGCGAAATGAAACTTCAAAAATCAAGTTCAGAAGAAGAAAGAACAATGTCGTTCTTTCCCAGAATTTGGGAATGTATTCCGGGCACCGACGTGGAAAAATATATTGTAAATTTATTATTTGAAAACTTAGATATGCCCAGTTTAGGAATAGGCAGTTGTGGGTGTCAGTCGAATTGTCCCACTGGCCAGTGATTCTAAATATTACAGTTTACAGTGCTTTGATCAGTTCTTATCTTGGAGCGAGCACCACTTCTCTTTCACATTTTATTAAATGTTTTTTTCAGAAATTACCAAACGCCTGAAGTAAAACTTCATCATCATCGTTAAAACAATTGTTAATGTTTCACCCGTTTTGATACACCTTCCTTCTAACATAATAAACGTGTTGTGGTGTTTTCATTCCACAGCTAAAAACTCTGTGGTGTTTTTTTGTTTTTTATTTTGTTATTTTTTAAATACGCGTTGATGTGTTAATTGGACACGACACGTCTGGGTGCTAATAACAAGACACAAAAACACGTTTATCGGGGGGGGGACACATTCTGAACACCGAAACACGTTTATTTCCAAAGAGGTGTTTAATTTCAAACGGTTACATGTTTTCAATTAACGCATAAAGACGAGTATATGATGGACGTTGGTTTATGCAGTGATCAAACTAACGCCATTGAGTAAACCGAAAGTCTATGTTTTGCAAGTACATGAAGAAACACAGCGCTTGAAATAAGTTTCGGATAAAAGCTAACACTTGTCTGATCCTTTCTTGTTAAGCAGCCTCTCTCATGTCGTTTGTCGTGTTTCTGTCCTTCATGCAGGTGGTGATCATTGGCGTATCAGGTATCACGGGCAGTCTCAGCCGACCAGAACTCCTTATGCCTGACAAATTCCACAACTACATGGAATCTTCTGTCTGTTCCAGAGTGGCTTTATTGCCTCCTGTGTCTACAACCTGCTGCTGATCCTGGCCTGCTGTTACTACGCCTTCAAGACCCGCAAGGTGCCAAGCAACTACAACGAGTCCAAGTTCATTGCGGTCAGCGTCTACTCCACGCTGGTGCTGTGCCTGGCCGCCGTGCCCGTCTACACCACGGCCACCATCGTCCTGCAGAAGGTGGCCACTCTCTGCATGGCCGTGCTGCTCAACGCTTACCTGACGCTGGTCTGCGTTTACCTGCCCAAGCTCTACGCCGCCCGCTTCGTCAAGGATGTGGTCCTGCTCCGTTGCAGCAACTCGTCCACTGGGGACGCCCCCACCAGAGTCCACCCGTTACACCTGCACAGTTCGCTGGGCGAGCAGAGCCACGGGCTGCCATCCGTGGAATAATCATTCAGTTTGGGGCCGGAAAAGCAAAACCTTGCGAATACAGGCCAAATTTGGTTGAGATTGGTGTTAATAATTCATCACAAGTTCCACAATCATCCCCGTCCCAGTCACCTGAGGTCCCGTCTCCAAAAGGGACCTTCACTTTTAATTTCAAGAACCGGTTAATTGAAGTCTATGCCACACTAAACTTAATCTACAATTGATAATCTTGTTCAAAAATGTTGCATGAATTCCACAGTCACATAACTATACGCTTTTAGGCTTTTATGTACACATGCAGAGCACAGTGTAGATGCATATATTGCACAATGGTACTGTGTACACATACACGCATGGTGATAGAATGTGGTTGTAAGGTTTGGGCAGTATTGATTCGTAGAGTGTTTAATCGATTATCTTGATGCCTTGGTCATCAGAGGGTAGCAATAAAGGAAATTTGCAAGCTGACTACAGGTCAATCAGTCCGTCCTTAACCAGGAGTTCGTATGCCACCCTGCTGATGCCAAAGCCCCGCCCCACCGGAGTGGAAGGGCTACCGCTTGATTTTTGTGGCGCCTTTTACAGGATTGGACTGACAGGGAAATCTCTTTTCACCTTTGTGATACCGTTTGTTGATGGAGGGGCCAATGGATGGCTGCCTTGTGTAAGCCGTTCTTGGCGCCAACTGCCCTATCTTATCTCTTCTTTTGGTTTTATTGGAGAATTATGGCGAATGTGCTGCGTGATATTCTACACTTTTCCTGGCCATTTTCATTAGAACAAAAGTCGTTTCATGCGAGGCCCATTAAAACTCAATGTAAACTGAATACCCCTTTATATCCGGATCTGAACATCCAATAGTATACCATTTCGATGTCGTTTTTCGAGCAGTCATTCATTACATGAGTTGATCACGGATTCCAGAGCTCTCTCCGTTCATTTAAATTCGCGGCAAGCCTCTGGAAGAAAGGTTGATCAAGGAATGAATTTAATCCACCGGCAATTTCACCATGCTTCCATTCAAATTTGCCGCATCGCGTGGCATGCTTTCAGGCAGACTCATAAGTGCTTTATTATTCGATCAGAAAAGACGGATGAAGAAGTGCACAAGGAGACAGAAAAAATCCTGTCTATGTTTAAGCGGTAAGCTGATGGTTACCTTTGGCATATGCTTCTGGATTCGTTTTAGAGTATATTTTTCGAAGTGAATTTTATAGGAAAGAAGTCAGAAAGACTTATGAAAAAAATGCACAAGGAAACAAGATTAAACTTCGTTTGCATAATTATTTTCTTTGATTTCAACGAATAGATAGCTTTCAATGGAATTCAGATTATTAGACCTTACACAGCACCATGATTAGAAGCAATCTTTCTAAGCAAGGCTGATTGTGGGGTATGTACATGTATATCATTTGGTCTCCAGGTTGGACTTCTTTTCGGTGAAACAAGGCGCAGAACGCCTACTCCAACATGCCGTATCATATCTAAATACAGGCGTTTCACAACAGCGCGCCACCAATGCGTTGACCAATCACAATGCGCGAAATCTGTCGACCCAATGCGTGTTTGGAAAGGGTCGACAGATTTCGTGCGTTGAGATTAGCCAACGCATTGCAAACTCCTGGAGGCACGCTATTGTGAATCACCCGTTTTAAAGTTCGACAAACGTGATCATCCATTACACCACAAAGAGTTAGAATCCTTTGCGCTCCGCTGAATCTTAAGTTGATTGCACTGACTCGCAAAAGTAAGTAGAAATTTAACGATCTGCGAAAATAGATATCGGACTGCCTATGTGATTGGGCCCTATAACTATAAGGTTTACACTAACTCGGGGCAAAATTATTTAAGAACTTTTATATTTCCTCTTATAGTACCCATTTGGATAAGCATACTTCAGATCATTTGCCAATTTTGGAGAAAGTGTTTTTCGGTTCCCAAACTCCCTTTGAATCGAATACACGGTGATAGTGTTTTAGAAGTGTTGCTGTGCATATTACACGACTTTAGTGATTGTGTAAAGCTGCATGTCTGGATTGGCTCATAGCTGATATATGTGCATATTATACCGGAATGTTGTTTTGCGTGCACTTTCTGGCGTTGTTCTTGGAAAGGAAAAAGGTCACGCCTAAAATGCAGTCTTGAAGCCCCTCGCCATTTTGAGATATCGATGCCTACAGTAGACCCACTTCTCGAAAAACAAACCATTTTCAGGCATCGATTTCTTCCAGATCTCACTCAGACGCAAGCTGGTATTTGCCCTCCTAAACGTGTCTTTTCTACTAATCTTCAAGTTTATGGGCCAAAAAAATAAATACTCTATTTTGTAGAGAATTTGAATGCATCCTTTAGTAAACCCCGGTTTTTACAATTTCCCCGAAAACGTGTAAAACAGAGGGAAAAGAGGTTTCAAAATCAGTTTGAGGTGAAAGATTGGAAAAGGTTGTCTCTCATCCAGGTTGTAGTCCTGTGACCCTGAGTAGGGCTGATAGTGGGTAACTATGTAGTTTGGCCATTAGGCTTTGAATTTCCAACCTTTCAACTGCTAAAAAGCTTGTGACTGCAAACTAGGGTTAATTTCTGTTGATTAGAGATAGGTTTGGCATAGGTTCGAAATTCGCACATAGGGTCTGTCCTTGACCGGGGGACGCAGTACATACAGTATACTCATGTTTTGAAACTCAGACTCTATGCTGGACCAATCAGACCTTGGAGTTTCAAAATTTGGGCAAGCAGCCCACCCTTCTCCTATCATGTAATACCACATTACATTCACCAGTCAAAATATCTGAATTGGCCAAAGCTTTGAGGCAAGCGAATGTTTGTTCCCCCTCCATCGGGCTTGCACAAGGACATGAAATTTGCTCAAGTGACTACATGGCGCTAACTTGAAAAAAGGGGAATTTCATCTATAATTATGTGTTTTTTTTAATAAAATAAAAGATTCCTCATTAAAAACATCACACATGCATGAGAAAAGTTACTTCTTAGCGCTTTCTCAATTTTATTCACTGTTAAAAAGTTGGTCAAACAGTGTTGGGCATTTCTTATTTGCCTAACCTTGGTTAAAGTTACCACATTGTTTTAAACATTGACCAACGATTGGGCAGAATTTGCCCAAGGTTGGGAAGTGGATATTTACACCAACATTGGGCAAAATATCAACCCAAAATTGACCAATCTTTTTACAGTGAACTTGGGTGAATGCCAGTACTATCAAAAACAAAGCGGTACGTTATATGCACGTGATTACTTTATTTCACCCGACTGTGCCACCCTTGGATAAATCACTAGATACGCTACTGATTTCATATTAAGATCACTTAGAAGAAAGGAAACCCGAACAAGGTTGGGATCCCCCTTATTGTCGAAAATGTAGGAAATTGAGATTATAAATGAAGTAAATCAGTATCAGTCCTTTAGCTCACTGTATTCAAACCGAGAAAATTGCCTTGTGGGTTCTGAAAAAAAATGTTGTGAGGGGAAAAATCCAAAAGTTATGCGGTGTTGACCAAGCATTCAGGTGCACGGACTCCTGAAATTCGCGAGGAATCGCAGTTACCGGCTTCCATATAGGACTCTTCTGGGGTCTCGGGGTTCCCGGCCCACCACACTTCCTCCCTGCCCATCCATTTAACCCCCATAGGGGTTCGAGCGACCATGCAAGGGAGGAAACGAGACAAGCCCCTAGGCCCTGGCCGCCGAGTCGGCCATATGTCTCGAACCTGTACTAAGGCGCTCACCTGGACTTCGCGGACAGTGCCAGCCGCAGNGTATTTGACGAGGGTGAATTGGAGTCTCTTATAGCTAATGACTGACTGCAAGCGTCGGGAAAATAAAAAGCTACCGCCGGGATTCGAACCCACCGACTAACGATCTGAAAACCGCAACCTTAACCATGTGGCCATTTCAAAGAAGTTGCTTTTCGCTGTTCATATTAAGGAGATAACCAAACCATTAACCTTACTGCACAGAATGTTTCTGTGTTAAGAATGAGTGACTAAAGCGCTACAATAGCGCATCACGTAGCAAAAAATACACATACACAGAAACAATGTTCTCCCTGACAGCTTCTCCTTAGTATTTTTGAATGCGCACATTAATATGGGGCAAGTCCCCGGACCAAGTCCGAACACCCGTCTACACGCTTTAACTCTTTTATAAAGTTTTGTTGGGGGGGGGGAGCGTTTCCTTTTGCGTTCTTTACTTGCACAAAATGACAGCTGAGGGTTGAATCAGGACCCTAATAGTTCTGCTAAATAACATGTTATGTGATGTGGTGGATCTGATCTGTGGTGTATTTCTTGAAGAACACATTGCCCTGCCCTGTGAATGGTGCCTCGTAACAGTAAATCCATTCTCTATAAATATGTAGTTGAAAAGTGAGCATTTTTCCTGTCACGTTATTCATTTTTAACACGTGCACCTTAAGTTGTCGTATTTTCAAATGTGTGAAATGTTAATGTGAATTCATCAGTGCGCTTCTTCCTATCTTACTATCTTGCATTGAGGCTTACTCCCAAGGAAGCATCACAGTACGTTGTGCCCATGAATATGGAATACTCGTAGTATGAACACAAGAAAGGAAATAAAATACCCTTTGAAACTCGTGAAACAAAGTTGAAAGTAGGGTTATCTGAGACAGAAAGGTGCTCTTTGAAGATTTACTTTAAAAGAAATTGATCGTAGCTATCTTTTAAATAAGAAGTTGCAAATTCAGCTTGTCAAAATTTAACTTGATGCGAGATAGTTTGTCACTGAATGTTCAAATTTTATAAATCACACGATCACGTCATCTATTTTATATACGTCAATTTGAGTACAAGCCAGTGGGTTTTGATTCTCACGGCCAAGACTTTGACCCATAAACCTTACGTCCAAGGTTTAACCTTGAAGGTCAATACCCTGCAGTGTAAAGTTACTACTGGGTCTATAAAACATGTCACATCATATCATGACTTAAGTATCGTCGGATTGGCAATTGTTCTCGGTGCCAGCCTATTTATTATTTCATTACAGTGATATAAAATCGTCGCTTGTCCCGATGCAAAGTTGCTGTCATGCAGTATATATGCTGTCGTTTCGTGCCGTTGCATCGTATTATCCTGCTGTCGTGTCGCACTTTCGTCTCCGATCGAGCCTTCCGTTATGCCGTCTTGTTTGCACATGGTGCTGTTGCGTTGTGCTTTCGCAACGCAAGTTTGCGTCATGCAGGCGAGCTGTCGCGTCGTGCCATTGCAGCGTTGAGTCCCTTGTCCTGCCGTCGCCTGAGACTTGTGGAAAAACAGACGCGCCCTTACAGACGTATCTTAGGCTGAGTTCGTGCGGCTTGTTCTCGTTTGTTCACGAACCGCTCGATTTTTTGTCAGTTAGTCGGCCGCTCGAACACTGGGAACATACTTCTTGCTGGTTGTTGCATGCATCATGGCGGCATCCATGTACGTTCTTTCAGAGTGAACTTTGGAAAGCTTGGCCGAATTCTTTTCTATTCAAAAAGGAACATTCATTTCTTTGCTATGGAAAATGGTTATTGTTAATTTTATAAAATTTTCCATTGTCTCCGGCTTTGTGAGCCATCTCGCTATTTTTGGCGGCTGTTCAAAAATCAAAATCTCATGACTTTTCCCGTGTGTTCCTGTAAAATCTTAACGAGGAGGTGGTGCGTGATCCTGTTCTGGGAACAGTGTTCTTGAGTCGTGTTCCCGCCGTTCGAGCGCGAGAACAAGAAACCTGTGTCAAGAACAGGCCGCCCGAACTCGACCTTAGAGGCGTCGCGCGCAATGTTCCCACACAGACTGTATCAAAAATATCTATAGACTGACAACAGAGGGCGCCAGAACGTAGTCTCCGTAGGGGTCCGTACCAGTAAATCAGTTGCCATAGACAGCAGTGATTTGAAATATCCCCACTTCAAAAAATCAGGAAATCAAATTAAATCTCAGTAAGTCTTCCTCGTCTTTCATTTTCCTTTCAATTTTCAGTGGCTTAACCAATGACTTTAGAAGATATTTCTCTCCGGAGAAAATCGCCCCTCAAAACAGTCTGAATTGCCCATCGCCATTTTTGAAATTGATGCCTACACTCCATGGCAAACTAGAGCAATTTGGAGGGCCCCTTTTGGTCCGATACTTTCAGAAATACAAGCTGACAGTCCTGCCCCTGCATTTCATCCACCTTTTTTTTTTTTAACAAACCACCCAGTCCACGTGCCACGGAACGCTCTAATAGCAGATAATTCACAGCTACAAATCGTGATTCGGTCCGCGCAGGGCAATTTTGGACCTATTCACTGGCCTGCAACCACAGCCAAACAGGGATAAATACCCGCACTACAAAAATCAGGAAAAATACGAGTTTCTCCGGCGTTTGAGACGCACGTCAAATTAAAGCCCAGTTTATGTTTTTTCATTTTCTTTTCAAATTTCCATGCATTAAACGATGACTTCTGAAGATATTTATTTCTACGGAAGGTCACTCCATATAGATGCCTTATACTTCTCGAAAAACAGACCGTTTTCAGGCATCGAGTTCTTCGAAATCTCGTTCAGACGCGAGCTGGTATTCTCTTTGCCCTCGTAAACGTGTCTTTTGTACAAATCTTCAAGTTCATGGGCCACAAAATACTCTATTTCGTAGAGACTTTGAGTGCATAAAAATTGTGATTTGGCCCGCGCAAGCAGTTTTCGGCCTATGTACTGGCCTGCATCCTAGGCTGTGAGCATTTGGTTAGCACCCCCCGAAAGAAGGTATTGACAAATGGGAAAAGCCAACATAGGCCTGGATAGCTCAGTTGATAGAGCACCGGTCCGGTTGTGCAGGAGGCCGCAGGTTCAAATCCCGCTCCAGTCAATTTCTTTTTTCATCTTTTTAGCAGTTTTTTGTTTAACTTTCATAGTTATTTTAGACACTTCTGCGCAGCGCGATCTACGTGTTTTACATGATAAAAACGGTCCAAGAACAGTTGAGGAAGATGTAATTGTTCTGGTAATTGACCTCATACATATAAAAAGCATGGTTTGACTGATCTTTGCATATTTTGAGACCCCTTTTAAAAAACGAATTAGTAAAATGTTAATGAAGAGAAAGGGTAGAAACTGGGCACTTTTCTAGGAATTTTTTTGTCATGGCCGTCATGGGGAGGGGATGAGCATGGAGCACTCCCCACCCTCACCGAAAAAAAAAGAAAAAAAAAAGGAAGGGGCAAAAGATATGAACCAAAAATTAGAGGGGATAAAAAAAGACCCATTTGCTTGAAAAAAAAATTCAATATTGACCCCCTCTAACTGTTAACAGTTGATAACCAGCATGATATGTGGGAAAGGGGGACCCCCCTAAGGTGATGCACAAGCTCTATACCCCAAGGCTATTGTGCCTACTGCACCCCCTCGGAAATCTGAAAGGAATTCCAAAGATTTCACCAACACAAAAGAAGACACTATAGATGGGGTCCCCCTTTGCCATTTATCTTGCATCATGTGAAAAATCTGGCAACGCCAGGCGAGAGTAAGGAACAAAACGGGAATGAATACAGCTATGCTTTGCTTGTACTGCTGCTTTGGAACAGGTTGTAAAAGGTACTCTTATTACAAGGCAACCATTAACCAGTGATGTGAAAATGCTATTCTGGTCAACGAGTATCGCCATTCATTCACTGTATCAGCCTTAACTAATTTTAATATGTGACATTTATTAACTTATGTCATATGCTGTCATGCATGAATATAACAACAATTTCAATAAATAATTTTGGACATTTACATACCCGCAAAAAATATTGTTTGTTGTAGAAGTGTGAATGAAGTGAAACAAAACATTCATCAAAAAGAGGGTATGCCATTTCAACTCATTAATTTTCATTTACACCATATTCAGCTCATGTGAGATTTCTAGGGAACACAACTTTGTGACGGCAAAGGATTTGCTTTGTAAAGTTACATAAGGAAACGAGTGCCATGCCAATTCAAAAAATTAGATTAACAAAAAAAGGCAATTACATTCAGTCTTTTTTAGAGAGAGAGATTTAAGCTCACACATCTAAACATAAAAGAAATATGACTTCCCAACTAACTGTTCCATGCTACAGTACACTCAGTGAACCAAGATATTTCAAAGGTTCTCTTTAAATCTGAGGCTGCATGCTTTTACCTCATTTTTATCAGCAACAGATTAGTGCAAAGTTCTACTTTCAGTTTTTTCTTTCAAAATATAGGTAATAACTCCAGCCCCCCCCCCAAAAAAACAGAGTTGTGGCCCTGTTAATTTTGGTCGGGTGAGAGATACATGCATGTCTTATTGCTTCCAAAAGCACTAGTGACTGGTGTCAAAACCTTTAACCCTAACCTTCCCCAACCACACAGCAATATGGGTGTTTTAACTTTGTGTGAACGGGGAAGGTTAGGGCCAGCAACCCTTGGGGGGGTTAGGGTTAAGGGACAGGATTTCTTGAGCAAGTGTCGTGGGCAAAGTTTTGCCCATCATTTCTTGTGACCTCTACCAGACTGCTTGGCACCTCTCTTGCCTTTGGGGGCCAGCTTCTTCCATGGCCCGGCCGATTTGGCTTTCATTCTGCAAGACAAGGAAAGACAAGAAGCAGCAAGGGGATGGGGTGAGTTTTCCAAAAACGTGAGTTCTGTGTACCTCAAGACGCCCCCAGCAAAGTCAACACTTGAAAAAAAAAAAGAAAAAAAAAAGAGGCAGACAGGAGGTGACGGAAACCATGGAAACCATACGTGAGCTTTGGATTTAGTTCTACAGACCACCCACAGACATTTTCACACTGCATGGATTCCTAAGGAGTACCTCATGGAAAGAAAAAAATCAAAATTGGACAAGAATGAAAAACAGGGATGCAACTACACCACATTACTTTGCCAGTGGTGACATGTTCCCGCTCTGTGTCTGCCAATTGTTCTTGGTTCAACTGGAACACATGAGCATGAGACAGAAGAGACACATTGTTAATTCCCCTCTGAAAACCAACCAGTCACAA